TTTGGACCAAGTAGCTTTCCTCCACAGCCTCATAACAGTCTACAGCTTTGTCTTGAAACCTCTTCACATATTCGAGAATGTCTTCACCCTCCTGCTGCTTTTCCTTACATAAGGTAAGTGTGGTCACTTTCTCGGCCACTTAAAAGAATTTGGTGTAGAATTTGTTGACCATCTCCTCCCAACTTCGAACAGAGTTTGGGGCCAAGTTAACGTACCAACTATATGCTCGGTTGGTGAGGGACTTGGAGAATTCTCTCAGTCGGAGGACATGATTTGAACTATGAATCCCCAAAGTCTCGATGAACCGAACATGTTCTCGAGCATTTTCTTGCTTGCCATTGAATTTGATGAACTTTGGCACCGTGTACCTCTCCGGGTATGGATAACTCAACATCTCGATAGGGTATGGTAACTTGACATCCGGATCAGGCAAAGAGGGTAAAGTCCTTTTGCCCCGTTCGAGATTGAACATGGCTTGCACATCGGCAAGAGTGAGAAATTGTTGAGGGAGAGAACTTGATGGTGGTATTCCCGGAACCTGACTTGTAGACTCGAAGACTGAGCTTGGAGCAACTTGGCCATTTGGGTGTTGAGAATTCACCATCGGTGAAAACACATGATGATATTGGCCATCGGCAACTATGGACACGTCATTTGGTGATGGGACGTTGCATTGGGTTCCATAAAGTCCATTGTACGCCATGGCTATATCAGGTTGGGCTTGCAAACTCGGCATCGGAGCCAAAGGAGACCCACTCGGTATATGAGTAGAATTTACAATCGGTGGAACAAAATTATGCATGGATGGAGCACCATTTTGTAGAGAAATTTCTGTAGGCTTTCGTTGAATTTCCATAACCGCTGGAACACCATTCGTCGTGCCAGAAACTCCTCTAACCACCGCTGGACCATGGCTCAATCCTCCAGGTGCGTGATTTTGCGCTCCATGGGCCGCAGGTTGGCCATGACTTATTCCTCCTAGCACTTGATTTTGCACACCATTTTGTACATCTTTAGGGAGAATTTGGAGTGGATCTTGATGGTTTTGACCATTCCCAACATCACCATGAAGTTGTTGATGATTCCCGGCGCTGACTTGACCTCCATTTGTTGCCGGTGGTGCGAAATGCGAACCTATCACCAACATGGTGTGGGTGAGATTTTGAAGGGTCGTGAGAATCTCTTGTTGAGTGTGTTGGAGTCCTTGAATGGCTTCAAGGATGAGAGGTGGGTCTTGAACTTGAGTCCTTTCATCACCACCATTGGAAGAGCCTTGTTGATAGTCTTATTATCTGCCATTTTTGTCGGTGTTGTATGAGTTCCAGATCTCGTTGAGACCATTAACCAATCCGCCTCCCCAGCAGCGCCAAAATGTATGAAAGGGTTCAAGAAAGTTGTTGGAAAATTTGAAGATCTTCGAAGATCCTTGAAGAAAAATTCGAATTCTCTAGAAGATGATGAGAGGCTTAGATTCTTCAATAGTCTCAACTAAGAACACAAAAGAAAGGAGATGATGGAGATAAGAGATTGGGTGACGAAGAAGGCAAAGTAGCTAGAGAGAGAATAATGGCAAGGCTCTCCCATGGATCTCTCACTTTCACTCTCAAAGTTGATAATGGAGATGAAAAATTAGTTCTTTCCCAAGAGTCATCTCTCCAAAATCCATCCCTTGTAAAGCTATGGGTGGGTGTTATTTATAGGCACCTCATGATATAGGATGGAGCCCATGTGCAAAGCACATGGGGAATATTCTCTCTAACCACCTTGTTCGAGGAGGTGACCTCTCCGAGGATGAGAAAAATCTCGAAGAGGAGATCAACCCCTCGGCGAACCCTTCTTCTTAGCCACATCTAACCAATGATCCCCAATCATCCCAAAGGGTCAGGAGTAGTCCCAGAAGACGTCCTGCCGCATACGGGTCAGGGGTAGTTCAAGAGAACGCCCTGCCGCAAACATTGCCGAGTCTTAGGGACCCCCTAGATCGTGCCACCTCGACCCGGGTATAGGCTAGTTTAACCGAAGAGTGAATTTATCTCTACTTACCGTCCTCGAGATCGGGTCCTTTGTTCGGACTCCATTAAGCCCATGGTTCTGGTGCATAGATCCCAAAAAGCTCCGAGCCCGCAAGTATTTTGAGACTCATTAATGGAGTGGTTTCTAGATTGCGTCTGAATCCGTTCGAAGCCAAGTGTTTCGGATCTCTAGGTTCGTGGATCCGAACCCTTTCGAGTCCGAGCCCAAGTAAGTCTCTAAGTTCGTGGATCCGAAACCTTTCAAGGCTTAGGGCGATTCGGCCTGTTTGATGGCGATAAATTCGGGCCCACCAATCTTGAACTAGAGATAAATTCGGGCTCACCAACCCTGGACTATTGGGTCTAATTAATTTAGCGGACTCAAATTAGCTCTTCTTACACCTCCTACTTGCTTGAATGTGGAGTCCCGCAATGAAATTAACATAAAATCGTGAAACTTCAGAATTAAAAATAAAAGTAAAAAAATTTAGAAAAAAGAAGAAGATGAAGAAAAAATTATTCAAATTATGTAAAGAAAAAAGGTGTAGAGTGAAAATGTTAATAAAATCTTGTTTCATTTTTAGAGAAAATTTGACGTTTTGCGAATTTGAAATAGGCATACAATCCGACTTGATGGTGACCCAATTTGTTGAAGACAAATTTAATTTTAAAAAATCAAAGAAGAAAATTATGTTTGAGACGCAATTGAGTTTGACTTTTTTAATTCTCAAGTGAAAAATAAAATAAAAAAAAATAAAAAAATAACAAACATGGGATTATTGTATTATTCTTAAAACTAGCGTAAAATGGCATGTGCAGTGTTAACTAATGATTACCCAAAAAAAATTATATATATTTGAAAAGAAAATAGTTTGACTAATGAATAAAAATCTTACTTGCCCCAAAATCATAATATGAAAAAAATGACAGCGAATAAAACAATCTATTCACGTCATTAGAAAATCAGATTGTGGAAATCTTCAACCCATGTTAAATGAAGATTGCGGAAATGAACACAATAGTTCCTAAGTTAAAAAATCATTGCCTAATAATTAAAACATCAAATTAGCCATCCAATTAATCAATTGTGTCAATTTTTTATAGCCGTGGCTTTAAAATTTCTAACAATCTCTTTATAGTTCTTAATTGAAATTGGGAGAGGGAGAAAGGATGGACGACATCCTTCTTGAATTGACTTGTACATATGTATATTTTACTTGAAATTTCAAGTCACCAAATATGTATATTTTTTTCGTTTTAAAATATTAGTCTCTTATTTTATTTTTTGTTATCTCAAAATATTAATTTATTTTTAAAAATTAAGTACAAAAATAATACAAATTTCTTATTTTTTCATTCTTTTTAATTCATTAACAACATAAAAAATATAATTATGACATTGATATTTCTCAAAAAATATACTAGTAAAGGGTAATTTTAAAAAATTATTTTTTTTAAAATGTAATAATTATATTATCAAACAAAATTAAAATTTTTAAAATAAATCATTACTTTATAACGGAGGGAATATATTTTTTTGTGTCAATCTTTCTTCAAACAATGATGATTAATGTCTACAGTACTTTATCCATAGACCACTATCATTCCGAGTTATGAAATCCAATACTCCAAGTATGCATGTTTTTCTAGCGTCAAATTAGCCTGACAATTTATTGAATTTAAAATTTAAAATAACATCCAAAAGGAAAATGCGGGGGACCCCGTACGGGGCGACCCCAGTGACCCCCAGCCCACGTGACAAAGTTGAAATTTATTTAAAAAAAAAAAAAAAAAAAAAAAAAAAAAAAAAGAAAACTAGCGAATGGCGTTGCGCCACGTCACTGGGGTATGTAGCAGTGTTGCATCCAAAAAGGTTGTCCTTCAAAAAGTTATGGTCTATTTGTTTGTACTTCTAATTTTTTCAGCTTTCTTTTGTTTAGTTTCCGTTTGGAAAGTGAGTTAGTTTTTTGATTTTTTAACTTTTTAATTATTTTAATTTAGGTTAAAAAGTTTGGTTTGAGAAGAATTTTTTGATTTTTTTGACTTTTTTTGTGAGAGAAGAGTGTAATGATTATGGGTTGGATGTGATATTTTATTTGTTGTGACTAAAATAGCCTATTTTGTTTTTTTGGTTAACTGAAAACTTTCTTCCCAAACGGTGCCTTAGTTTAAAAAGTTCAAAATAAACTAAAAAACTACTTTGATAAAAATTCCTCACCAGGTGTTTTATTATTATTTTTAAAAAAATAAAAAACCTTAAAACGCTCAAAATAAACTAAAAAATCTATTCATTTATTTTAGTTGGAGTTGTAGATTGATTTATGAAAATAATAATAAAAAAAATCTATTAATTTATGCAGAAAATATTTTTTTTTGTATTTTTTTAAGTGTTTAGTACAATAACAAGAGAAAGTAAACGGAAAATATTTTGCATAATCAATAGAAACTAACTATATAGACAGAAAATATTTTCGATCTTTTTAAAAAGAAAACGTTTTTCAGATTAAATTCTTACCAATATCGTCACAATACCACCGACACCCTTACCTCCACCACCACACCACCATTACTGTTGCTATCACCGCCTCACCACCATGCCACCACCTCCACCTTCGTTTCGCCGCCACCACCACCACCACTGAACATAGAAAACATTTTATGGAAAAAATTCTCTATTGAAAATATTTTTCACTCAAACCAACAGTATTTTTTTGATTTATGCAGTAGAAAACGGACTGAGCCGGTGGAAATATAGAATCATATCTGATTGGTTCGGCCCGCACAAATGGTTAGATTTCCCAAACATAACATGACAAGAAAAGGACTTGTTCTCTGAGTTTTACGCTGATAGCACACAGCTTTGTTCGATTCGATCAAATAAATCAAAACACACACACAGAGTCTAAGATCGAGCTCGAGATCGAGAGAGAAACACAGTTTTGTTCGATCAATTAAATCAAAACACAGAGAGAGAGAGAGAGAGAGCACCTTCAGAAGCAGGCGTAGTGCCATTTTGAGCTCGAGCAATCTGAAGAAGAATGAGGACGAAGAAAATGCAAAGAAAGTAGTGAAAGGCCTGCATCGTACAACATATTTTCATCTTTCTTCCTCAGATCATGCATTCATATCCACCAATACAATACAATGAGAGAGAGAGAGAGAGAGAGAGAGAGAGGTTTTCAGAGATCAAAGTGGAAATGCAATTATACCTCTCTTCTCTACGGGTGTGCTTTGATCGAGTCTATTCCACCAATTCCAGTCCAACTCCTGAAAGACGTGCTTTGATTTTTTTACTACTGTCGTATTCAAACTTCAAAATTCTGCCACACGCGCCTCCATAGTATTATTTATTTATTATTATTATTATTCACAAATCTTATCATATGGTTTTAAATGCATAATAAATACCAAAATTCAGATACTGAAATAAGGTTATGATATATATATAGGGATATTTATTTGTAAATATTTGTAAGCACGCACCTCGATTGAGTGCAGGGGCTCCCTGCACAGTTAATGAAATTTTTTAAAACAAATAAAAAAACGTTAATTAAACTGGGACGTTTAGCCTATAGCCACTTCAGGCCATTTTGGAAACATGGACTAAAAATTAAAAGTTAATTTTTAATCTATTTTGAATTATATCATATCATTTTTTATATAAAATAGGATAGGAAAAAAAAAAAAATCAGCTTTTAATCATCTTTTCAAAACACCCCTCAAAGTTGGCAGCTCATTCTCTCTCTTTCTCTCTCTCTCATCTTTTCGTCTTTTTCTTGTTTAATTTCATTTGAGAAGTAAGTTGGTTTTTTGATTATTTTAGTCTGAAACTAAAAAATTTATTCAAGTTGATTTTTTTGATTTTTTTTGAAAAAAAATCAAATGTTTATAATTTAAATGTAACATTTAGTATTATTAACTTTTTAATTTATTTTATCTTTTTGTAATTAAAAAAACCACCAACCTCAAAAAAGTCACTTGCCAAACAAGGGCTAAATATAAGTTCAGTTCAAGTAGTAGTTTAATCTATATAAGTTTATTGAATCAATTAATAAATTATTCAAATTTATTTTAAAATTTTAACTAATTTTTAAATATATCTAATCTTAATTTGATTACTTTATGCCTTAATATTAAATAAATTTTTAATTAATCAAACATCAATGAAGTTGGAATGACTTGGTTAAAAAGGCAACAATGATCCAATACAACCCCTTAATTTTGGAACTCTAATTGAATTCTAATAATATGAAAATTCGAAAAAAATAAAATAAAATAACTAAAGTCAAAACATCACATCAATAGATGGAACTCACCTCTAAAGCTCTTTCTGAGCTCATATTTTAGAGCTCCCAAATATTTTTCAAAAGCATATTGATGGTTTTGTTAGTGATAGACTCACAATTTAATTATAGTACTCTATAAATATATTTTATTGCTTTCTATCTCTAATCATATAAAAATTATTATCTATCTGTCGTCGTTTGATAATTAATTTTTTATTTTTTAACTATCTTAACTTGAGATTAAAAATTTTGTTTGGATTGATTTTTTTAATTTTTTTTAAAAATAAAATAATTATGATTTGAATATAATATTTTATTTTATTAATTTTTTAACTTATTTTATTATTTAATAGTTAATTTAATCCCAAATTATTTTGCCAAACGAAGCCTATATATAGTTGCCAATTTGCAAGGCAAATGTTCCGTCTATTCCTACTGAGTGGTCCACCCACGACACGATATATATATACACTAGTCACTGTTTATGATTTTGGACTTTTAATACCTAATTATAGTGACAACAAGACCACACCAAATGCATAATTGTGGTACTAATTAATTTTAATTGAAAACGAATTGAGTGGTCCCCCACAACACGATATATATACACTTGTCAATATTTGTGATTTTTTTGGACTTTTAACGCCAAATTACAGTGACAAGAGCACACATGCATAATTGTGGTACTAATTAATTTAAATTGTAAACTCTCAATTTAATTGTCAAGTGGTTGATATTTTCTATTCTTCAACCTCTTGATTTCGAGCAATTGATCATGACGATATATTTAGGTATCAATAAGGTAAGATTTTAGGATCAACCTAATAGAAGTATCCTTAAGATCATTATAATAAATTTTATTAACTTACTACCATTTTACCGGATGACAAAAGGTGAGGAAAAAAAACAAAGAAAGAAAGTTATCGAGTAGTTATTCCATATGTCATGTATATGCTTAAAGTTTGTTAGAAATGGTTTTGAAAAAATTTGAAAAAAATAGAATTTTTTTTAAACTTTGGTTTAATTTTTAGGTGGATTCTGTGCGCCAAAGTTGGCGGGTCTAAGTGGTAACGCGTTCTATGTCGCGTTGTGATTCACGTGGTATATTTGGTTGCTCAAAACTATTATCGGGTGAATGGAAAATTGAAGCAAAAGTGAGCTATATGGGAATGAAGTTTTTGGTAAAAATTCCTTAAGGTTTGAATAATGGCTTGTCCTACTTTGAGTGAGTTTATAAGGATTGGAGTTGGAACTTGGGGTAGGTCCTAAGTGGCACCCAAGTTTTGTAGAAATTGAGGTTATGAGCTAAATCTATTGGACCCAAAATAAACACACACGCGCCGTCCGTCCGTCCGGTTGGTCGGCCGGGCTGGGCTGGGCTTCGGCGTGGGTGTGTGGTTGGGTTGGGCTTGTCCGGCCCAATACCTATCTTTTTAGGCTAAAAACATTTGAATTTTATTTTTTAAAATTAAATTCTAATTTTTTGAAATTTGAATTTCGAAAATTAATTTCAAAATGGGCTTCGTTTTTTTTCCCTTACCCAAACAGATTCAAATATGTGCAAATATGGTTTTTATTTGTTCAAAATTTGAACCCAACAAATTTATATATGTTCATTCAAACCGAACATGTATCATACCTGTTCAAACAGGTTTTGCACCTGTTTAATTCGAACCTTATAGCCATGAAATTTTCTATATAAAGGTAGTCCCTCATTTGAATATTCATTCCAATTTTCGTTCTTGTTTGCTGCAATTCATCTCTGCATTTTGCTGCATTAATTCTATTAATTTTCTATGAGAAAGAATGTATACACTAAGTGTGTTCGTGGTTGGGTGAAGCTTAGTTGGGCTGCTATTTTGTTAGCTGTGGTTGCTCTTTCATTTCTGTTTCTTTTGTGTTGTTTGTTGGTCTCTCACCAACTGGCGCTTGGAGCTTCAGTTAGCTCCAAGCTCCTCTTTATTGATATTCTGTATCTTTTTGCATACTTTCATCAATAAAGATTTTTCTTTGCCGATAAAAAAAAAAAAGTGTTTTTGTTGTACAAAAAATTTGTAGTGCTGCAATTTTTCGTTGATTGAACATTTTATCCTGGGAGATAGACGTCTACATTCTGAAAGCACCGCGAAGAGGACAAATCTGTCTTAAGGACACAGTGTTAAACACTAGACTTGATCAAAAAATTTATTCAAGAAATTAATCGAGTAAGTTGTTAATTTATTTTCTTGTTTATTATTTATTTATATTATATTTTGATTTTGATTTTGTTTTTGTAACAAAATAAAAATCTGGTTTTATTTATTTATTTTATTTTCTAGTTTGATTTTTATAATCAAACATTCTCCCTCATTTCCTTTATTTCTTTTATTTGTCATTAAGTACACAAACATAATTTATTTTTTAAATACAGTGAAGATTGTCCAACAATCTTAAGATAGAAATTTTTTGGTGTCTTCATTGTATTTAATTTTCTGTGTTTTCACAAAGTGATATTTTGGTTGGAAAATACAAATAGTGGTAATATATTGTTTGACAAATAGTAGTAATATACTGTTTTTTTCTTTGACAACTAGTAGTAATATATTGGTGTCATTAACAATTGCAGAATATTAATTTGTGTTACAGAAAATTATTGTGGTATTTTATTTTTCAAGTTTTAGTAGCAAGGAAAATAAAATTATTTTGTGTTATAATTTATTTTCTAATTTTAGTAACTAGAAAATTAATTTTTGTTTTGGTTTTTTCTGATTTTTGTAATCAAATATTGTGGCTGCTAAAAGTAGTACTCCAAATCCGATCGTTGCAACGACTCTGGTCCCTATCTAGAACCATGTTCAAGTTTCGATAAATCATAGAGAAAAATTGAAAAAATTTAATGGCACTGAGTTTAAGCGATGGCAGCAGAAAATACTATTCTATCTTACAACTTTAAATTTGGCCCTGTTTCTCCGTGAAGAGGCTCCAGTACTTAGAGAGGATGAAAGTAATCGGTAAGTTGTTGCCACTGTAGACGCTTGGAAGCATTTTGATTTCCTGTGCAGAAACTACACCCTCAATGGCCTTGACAACATGCTGTATAATGTTTACAACCCTCTGAAAACAACAAAAAAAATTATGGGATTCTTTAGAGAAAAAATACAAGACAGAGGATGCCGGCATGAAGAAATTTGTTGTCTGTAAATTTCTAGACTTTATTATGGTAGACTCCCAAACGGTAATTTTTCAAGTTCAAAATTTTTAAATAATTTTGCATGATATTCATGCTGAAGGTATGTCTCTTAGCGAGTCTTTCCAAGTTGTTGCTTTAGTGGAAAAGTTACCACCGGTTTGGAAAGATTTCAAAAATTATTTAAAACATAAACGCAATGAGATGACCATGAATAAATTGATTGTAAGATTGAAAATTAAGGAAGATAACCGAAAGGATAAAAAGAGGAATTGTAAAAATCCCATTGAGTTTAACGCTAATATGGTTGAACAAGTGCACAAACCACATAACAAAAAGAGGAAGTTTACTGGAGATGATCCTAAACAAGGCGACAACAATGACAATAAGAAGTTCAAAGGAAAATGCTATAACTGTGGCAAGACTGGATATCGAGCTTCTAATTGCCGCCGCCCTAAGAAGGATCGCGGAAGTACAAGCAAGAAGACCACTAATCAAGCCAATGTGACAGAATTAGATTACATCTCTGATGGGGTAAATGACATCAATCTCTCTGCTATGGTGTCTGAGGCTAATTTGGTTAGAAATCCAAAGGAATGGTGGGTTGACACTGGGGCAACTCGTCACATATGTGTGAAGAAGAAAATGTTCACAACTTACAATGAGGTTGCAAATGGTGAACAACTTTTTATAGAAAATTCTTCTACTTCTACTGTGGCTAGACAAGGAAAAATGATC